GCATTTATATCCTACCCTCTCCAAAGATCCCCATGAAATTGAAATATTATCTAAGTCACTATTTTATTCAAGTGTCTAGTCTATACCTGGAACATACTGCATTTTAATAGATACCTACTGATTGAATTAACAAATGTCAATTTTAGCAAGTGTTTTCATTAAGGAAATAGAGCAAAAAGGACCTTCATTGTTTATGAAGCATCATTAATAGGCTAGTATGAAAGCTGAAACTGACATTCACTTTTTACTTCACCTGTTAATACTAAAAGGTAATTTTAATTCATGAGGACATTTACCTAATTTTGAATTTAAGCTATTAAGTATGTGCATAAAACTGATCTATTCTTTAGCTTAAAACTTTTCAGCAGGCCTCACTGGTGGCACAGGGTTTTAAGTCTCAGCACTGTGAAGCTATCACAGCCACTGCAACACAAGTTTGATCCTCAGCCAGGTGGAGCTGACCCACAAGGCCCTCTCCCCTCTCACTCTCCTCAGCAGTGTATCCAGTATGTCTGCCTGTTCTGCTCCCCACTCTATCTCTGGTGAATCCTCTTATCCCCCTGTACCTCTGGCCTACACCTCAGTTCTTGTATGCATAAAAAAAAAAAAACACCTTTACATCAACATCTGCCACTTAGGACCTAATTCCAAGCTTAGGTTACCTGAAAGACTGTCAAAAATAACAAAAACAACTTGCTGACAAATGACATGCCCTTTACATTGAAGTAGCTTTCAACTTGAGTGCTTTTTCTCCTAAAATAATTAGAATAATTAAAAGAAACATGAATACAACTGTTAGAAAATTCCTTTTAGTGGGAAGTCAGTATTTGCATACTCTCCATAGACCTTTAGGTAGGACCTTTAACCCTAGTAATCACCCTGTGAGGAAAGTAATCCTGTTTTCATTTTCAAAAAGAACAAGGTAGTGACTGTAAAAACATAACTATAGATGACAGGAAAGAAAGGAAACTTTAAAAGTAGGAGCCAACCCTAAAATAGAGAGTGGGACACAAGATCTTTCAGTATAGTACCAAAGAAGCAGCTGCTTACGAATTCCCAGGATGTCCTGTATCAAAGCAGACTTCTGAGAGTCATGGGTTAATGGCCCTGGCACATCTGAAAAAAGTTTACAGTACTTTTTTTTTTTAAAGATTTATTCATGCATATAGAACTGGGGTACAGGCCAGAGACGCAGGAGCTGTGAGAGGGTTCACCAGAGACAGAGTGGGGAGCAGAACAGGCCGACTGACAAAGTACACTGCTGAGGGGTGCAGGAGGTGGGTCAGGAAAGGTCTGCCTTGCCATGTGGATCAGTACTTTAATAAACATAAAAGGTAAGAGGAAGAAAACGTTATTTGCATTGAAGTAATTTTTTAAAGTTCTGACATTTAAAAGGACCTGCTAATTATCTGAAAAGTCATGTTATTAAGTACCTCTTTCTACAGCGATATTCGATAACTGTGTTGTAATACAGGTCTACTCCCACTACATTCTTCATACACACATACACTGTATCAAGAGATGGCATAACTAACATTTAGGTAAGACAAACTAGTACTTATCCAGGAAGTGATAACAGAACCAGAGTTCAAAGAGGGGATATAAGTTTTTGAGGCATCAAGACAGAGTGGGAGGAAGCAAGCACTCAATGAAAAACACAAGCAAGTGCAGACCTTGGTGAAAGATTCATTATCTCAAACATTTTATTGCAATCTACTACATGCCAAGCCCTGGGATACAAAGATGACTACAACAGTCTGTGCCCTCAAGGTGTGAAAATCTAGTGGGCAAAAGACATTAAAAAATAATTGTAACAGCTAGTGGTATTACAGAATAGTAACTGAGATGCTAAGTGTACGATGGGAATACAGGTTTGATGCCTAATAGAATTTAAGGGCATCTAATTAGGAGAGCTGTCCCGAAGAAGGTGGGGTTTTTTGTTGGTTTTGTTTTTGTTTTTTAAGATTTACCCCAAGAACTGGGGTGTAGGCCAGAGGTGTGGGGGTAAGAGGATTCACCAGGGACAGAGTGGGGAGCAGAACAGGTGGATCTATTGAAATACACTGCTGAGGGGAGCAGCAGATGAGACACGCAAAGGTCTACTATTGTGCCATGTGGGTCACCTCCCTGGCTGGGGATCGATCTCATGCAGCAGTGACTGGCAATAGCTTGATAGCACTGAGACTTTAACCTCTGTACCATCAGACAGGCACAGAAAGTGAATTCTTAAAGGTGACTTGATATTAGAAAGAGAGAAGCTCTCTTAGTAAGAGAACCCAGCCACAGTCGTGGAGGAGGAGCATAAATAAGGAGAGTACCAGACAGAAAGGACTCAAATGACTTCTGCTGGCTGAATGTACAACTAAGTTAATGAACAAATAAGAGATGGGAAGACAATATAAACTTATAAGTATTAAGCTGAGGAGGCTAGGCATCTACATATAGGTGATAGTAGAAAATACCAAGATCAACCAAGGGGTTCAGGACATCTCTCATGGAGAGACTGTAAGTCTTCAAGAAAAGAAGAAATAATAAAGCTAACACTTAACAAGCATTTACTATGGTTCACAACACTATACGCAGCACAGGTTACTATTACCCCTTTATAGGTGGTTAAATGATTTTCCCTAAATTACAGGGTCATCAAAGAATAGTTAACAAAAACCAACCAGCGCAGCCTAAGAGAGATGAAAGGAGAACCAGGAGCAAATAGGATTCAGAATCAAGTTAGAGGATTGAAGAGATAATCTATGGACAATACTCAAGACCAAGAAAAAAGGAGGTGGGTGGAACAGGGGATATTTCACAATCTGGGGACATTAATAACTTTGATTTCCTTAATTATTTGTACTGTTGGTTTCAGGAAGAGGGACAAGACCACTGAACATTTTGTAATCTCCACAATTTGGGGTTACAAAATAAGTTCAGGAAGTGAAAATAGTGATCATAAGACAAAAGGCCCAACAGTGGAGGAAGCAGACATTAATGTCTTACGAAGTCAGTGACATTTACAGTGCTGGGCTCCAGGATAGATGCATCACATACCTCATTTAACAATTCCATTTCAAAAGATGCTGGAGATTCAGAAATGCTGGGAAACTGGTTCAAAGTTACTAACCAATAAGGGCAGTGGAAACATTTACACCCAAGGTAACATAAAGCTCGCAGACAGCTATTTAAAAACATAGCAAAAAAAAAAAAAAAAATTGAGAGTTAGCAAAGAAATCAGGCCCAAAAAAAAATAAAAACATAGCAAACTGACAGAACATGAACTTCTTACGAATTCAGGCTGTGCAATGGTTTTTATAATGGGTAGTATTAATGTATTCAACTTGCCTAGGAAGCAAAACAAAAAGAACTGGTTTGAAAGTTGCAAAGAAGGGTCAACTTCAGCAGGCCTGCAGTGTTCCCATGGATAAAGCTTTCAAAAGAACCTATATATTGATTTTTAAAAATGAAAACAAAAACTGAGCACCTAATTTAGGTGAAGAACTTTGCTACAACACTCCGAGGTTCAACAGCTGAGAAACCATTACAAATACACTTAGAATTCAAATGTGAAATTTCTCCCAGTTCCTGCTGAACAGTAAGCCCCCAGTACAAGCCTACATTTACATATCAAAGGCCTGGGTGGAGAAGTTAATCAACAAAACAAAAGAACTCTACCAAATTCTCATTTACATTTGTATGTTCAGTAAAGAGATAAAGTCCAAAAATAAATTTGACAAAAGAAACTTCACAGACTCTAGTTAAAATTTTTCCCACTTCAGTTCCAAGAAAACATCACTTTTCTCTAAATAATTTCCCATTCCAAAGTTTCTTCCTCAGTCCTCAAACTCATTCATTCTTTATGACTGGAGCTGGTTCAGATTGAGAATTAAGACAGAAAATAAGATGAAATACTGAAATTTGGATGCCAGGAAGGGAAACAATTAAAAAAACATCTAATTAAATAACATCTCATCACAAAAGATGATTAACTACTACCAAGGAGAGCAGTCCTAGGAAAGTTTAACCGGGATGGCCTAGCTTCATTGAGGAAGTAATATTTGGAGTATTTGAGGAATCCCTGGGGAAAGACTGTAACGCACTTTAAAGATGGGAGAAACCCTTAAAAGATAATAGGCAAGACTGTGGTGGAACACAAAGCCATTGTGGTTTGAACCAGAGAACCAGGAGGTAGGTAACCTAAAAAGAACTGGAGATAAAGTGTTATGGAGAATGCGAAATCTTTTGAGGGTTGTAAGCACGTGATCCACTGCATTTTAAAATGATTACCTTTAAAAGCATTAGAGCCTCCCAAAATCCATTCTCATACCCAGACAAATGTAGTTTAAAAAGATGGTAGCTACTCAGCATAAGTGATCAGTCAACTTAACCTATATATATAGAAAGAGAGAGAATAAAGTTTACAGTTTTGCTTCTCACAAATAACTCCTAAACATACAAATCACTCACGCTGCATGGCTACAGCATTTGCGAACCTCAGAAAATTACATCTTAGTATTTAAAAATAAAAATATGAGCTTAATTACAGTCTTTAACGCCCAGAGTTCAGTGTCGAAGTGTCATCCATCCGTTAGCGTTTTTTCCTCCCTAAATCAATAAGCTGACTTCCTGTATGCATCTTCTGGTTTTGCTTTTTATGGAATAAAAGGTCTAATTCATAACTTTCTGTACTACAGTAAAGAAGAGATGGCAAAAGATTGGGGGGGGGCACCAAAAACCTCCGAGGATTAAAAGGCTGACAGTGTCCAGACGGGGCGCCGGACCGTAACTTTCCCGCCCTCCCCATCCCCCAAACTCCCCAGGACCCGCGGAACCGCTCCCTCCTCCCCCGCCATCAAGACCCCGAGCCGCGTCCCCCTCCCCTCAATCCAGGTCGAGGCCAGGCCCGCCGAGCCGGAGAGGCAGTGACCACTTCCTCCAGTACCTCTCCGGCGGAGGTGGGTGGACCCACCGCGGGAAGTGAGGAAGGGGCTGGGGAGCGCGAGCCTTACCTGAGGCTGGAGTCCGACTCGGGGGACTTGGCCAAGGAGCGCAGAATGGGAAGCGGCCGCAGCGCGCCCGGGAGGAAGGTCGGCTCCGGGCAGCTCTCCGGGTGCCCAAGGCCGACAAGCTCGCCAGCCGAGCAGCGGACGAAGATAAAGCGTCCAATTCCCAGGCCCCTCCGCCCCCAGCCTCGTAGCCCGCTACGTTGCGTCACGCGCAAGGCCAGCTCCGACTCGGGATTTTATTGGTGGTCCCGGTGGCCTCCAGGCTCCGCCCACCGCCCACGAGCACCCCGCCCCTTACGGGCACTCGGGTACCCAAGCGGGAGCCCCAAGCTCGCCCTGGCGCCGGGTGGGCGCTACTGCTAGCCCGGGCATCTGGACGGCGGAAGCCGCAGCTTGCTTTCCATTTCTACTCCCGTGAGCCAGTGTCCGTCCGGAATGGACCCTGGACAACTTCCTGCAAGACTGAACCGGCACCCGAGGGTGTAGCGCAGTACTGACCAGTCTACTGCTTCTAGATACTGGCAGAAGTCACTTCCACAACTGTGCATCATTGCTTTTTAAACCGACCCTTTGGGAACAAAACAGAAGCACTGGCCATGAATTACAGCATGCTTAAGGCTGAGCAAACTCTACGAGGGTGTCCTTTGGTACAGGAGAACTAGATAAGGAGACAGCTGGAAGATGTGTGAAATAATGGGGCAATTAAGTAAACAAAGTGAGGACTAACAAAAAAAAATGGTGCAGATGTATGTTACTACATAGGTTAGATAGAATAGTCACTTAAATTTTGCTAAAGCTAAGGGTAGGTGAACTTAGAGTAAAGGTAGGTGAAAGGGAATGAAGGGCCACACTGCAAGCTGTCCTGACCTGATCACTCCCCCTACTCCAGACAGGGTAGATGGCCACCACTCCGGCTGCCTGACCAAATGGATCAGGTTTACCTAAATTGACTGTTCTCTCTGGACCTTTTAACAAATCCTGGAGATCAGACAGCATGGTTCTCCCCAAAGTAGAACCAACCTCAGCATTCATTCATGTTCCACACCAGCCATCAATGGGCCGACCTACCCAGTATGCCTCTTCAACAATTTCAGTTGCTGCTTCAACTAGATGAACAGAGGCTGTGGTAGATCCCAGCATGTTTGAGCCTCATATCTCCTCTCCCCAGTCTTTTTTTTTTTTTTTTAAGATTTATTTATTTATGCATACAGAACTGGGATGCAGGCCAGAGGTGCAGAGACGGTGAGAGGATTCATCAGAGACAGAGTGGGAAGCAGAACAGACCGACTGACGAAGTGCACTGCTGAGGGCAGTAGCGGGCCCAACTTGAGAGGTCTAGCTGCACCATGTGGGTCACCTCCCTGGGCGGGATCGAACTCATGCGGCTGTGGCTAGCTTCCTAGTGTTGTGCTTTCACCCACTGTGCCACCAGGGAGGGCAGCTCTCCAGTTAAAAAAAAAAAAATGCTAAGATAGGGAGTCTTTTCTGTTGAGGATCTATGAAACACCTTTTATGCACACCAAGAAGATGCCCCATGTTAGGGATACAACAATGAATAAAACAGAAACAGTCCCTCACATAGGCATTTATGTTTCTATTGGAGAAGATAAGATAAAGAATACAATAAGTGAGATAATTGCAGGTAGTGATAAAACAGAAGGAAAAGCAAAATAGTGATCAGAGAAGAACTTTTTGAAGAGGTGTTGTGATCTAAGTCTTAAACGAGGAAAAGAAGCCAGTTACGCCAACCATGGGGAAGGAGATCATTCTAAACAGAGAGCAGTGCTGATGCTGGACAGGTTTGACTTGTTTAAGGAAAAGAATACCAGGAGGCTTGCCTGGGGGTTTGTGCCGAGGCTTGCAAGAAATTTTGGTTGAAGAGTCAAGCAGTAACCTAAACCTATTGTTGGGATTTTGTTGTTGTTGTTAATTACAAAGGGAAAATAAGTCTTTTTTTTTTAATTCAACCTATTTTGGAAGAATGATTTGAGGGGAGCAGAGATGGAACAGGAAGAAGCCCATAGCAGTTATGGGACAAGTCCATGATGGTGATCTGAATTAGGGTAGTTGCTATGAAAACAGAAGTTGAAAGATTTCAGGATATTTTTCTGAGGGGGAGAGGTGAAGAAAAATGGGGAACAAGGTGACTCCCAGATTATTTTCTTAAGTAAGTGGGAGGATACAATGTTATTTGGCTAAAGAGGGAAGACCTTTCAAAATATGATTAGAGGTACCTTGAAGCTACCCAAACTGCAAACCTTGCCTACCACAGAGCTAAAAATCTCACATCATTCCATTTTGGGGGTCAAGGTATAGATAAATATAATTTTTGGCTTCATCGTATTAAAAAAAATCAGTGTCTAGAACTTACACTAATTGCCAGGGATGTGATGATGATTTAGAAGAACTGTCTACTGGGAGAGAGCCATTTTAAAAAGTGGCATAAATGTTACAATAAAGAAAGGTAGTAAGAACGCCTAGCTAATAAGGTCATTATAAGGATTAAGAAAGTTAATGCCTTCTGAGCTCTAAGTACGGACAGTGACAAAGAGAAGTGCCACTGTATATAGAATATTAACAGTTATTTTATACTATCTTACATGGAGGTTCTTTATTGTTGATATGGTTGTTTTCTGGATAGAGCAGGGATGAATGGAATGGTTATCATAACCTGCTACCTTGGTATAGGAAAGCTGATTCTGGTTTTCTGAACCAGTAGGAGGAAGAGTTTTGTTGTCAGGTAAGTAAAGAAGGACACTCCAAGCAAAGGAAAAACACAGTTAAAGGCAAACAAGAGGGCAACCAGAACTCTCTAGAGACAGGAAGGTGGTTGAGTGTTTTTAAAAGTACAGGGTATTTACCTACAAGTAGCAAGAGGTAAAGTTATCGGGGCTTGAGAAGTCTGTAGGCTACTCAGAGACATTCTGACTCAGTCCCATAGACAGAAGGGAGACAGTAAAGGATATTAAGTCAGGGAGAGTCATGATTTAAGAGACTACTGGGCAGATGTACAACTGGAGGTGGTGAGATCAATTAGGGAGGTATCACAATAATATAGGTGAGAGATGATGAAGGTCTAAACTAGGGCAGTTGAAAGCAGGTTGGAAAGAGAGGACATATTTAAGAGACATGTAAAGAAACAATCGACAGATTTAAAGAATGTTTAGAATGGTGGTTAAGGAAGTAACCAGGATTTCTATCTGAATAGAATGTGTGACTAAAGGTATTGCTGAGAGGTTAAAAAAAAATCCTGGAGAAGGAGCAAGGATAAATCTTTACTTGGGTTAATATTTAAACCAAACTACTTCACCTCCTCTTGAGTCCTAAAGGACCTGAACAAGAAGCATTCAAGTTTTCTTTGGTTTTATAATAAAATCAACATTTTTCTGGTAATGTCAATATGAATATTCTTGCAGAAAAATCAAATACAGAAAAGGACAAGGATGAAAAAGCATTTAATGTCCTAGAGGTTCAGCTGAATTTTGATGTGGACAAGGAAAAGAATAAGGATTGACCATGGGCACTGAGTCCTACCCCTCACAGGATTCTACAGGTAGTCAGAAAGGCAAGCAAAATAGGCACCAACCCAGGTTTTAAAACACAAAATCTCCATTCTTGGAAGTGCCACGTCTTCCTTGATGAGACCAAACATTCATTTGTTCTTTATCCTATCAAATATATATGAAATTTCTCCACTGGCAATCATTTCTCCACTGGCAATCATGTGTTACTTAAACAGACTCATCTGGAGTTAGTTAAGGTTTTGTGATTGAGTAAGATAAAGATGATGAAGCAAGAGTGTAAATCAAGATGTTCTTGGCTGGAACAACCCTGAAAACTCTTGGAGAGTCGGAATCTTGTCTTGTTTATGTAATTCTCTGAGCACATAGCACAATCCTAAGAGCCACCTTGACACAAGCTATGCAACCTCTATCGACTGACATATTTCGGATGGAGACAGAAATTCTCTGAAAAATCAGACTTTCCACACTAACTTATGTTATGACCTCCCACCTGATAAATTTTTTGAATGAATGAAGCCAACTAAAGGTATAAGTCCCTAAATTGTGGGTAGATCATAAAGAAGATAGAGGTCAGACAGATTTCATTCCCCCTTTTAGTGATTCACTCATTTTGCATGTGCTGTCAATTCTTGTCTTTCTACAAACAGAAGTCTTTGTATACAACAGAGAGCCATCTATCCCAATTACTGGGCTGCCAAATCTGACTTTCTAGACTCGATTTTTAAATATCAAAGTATATTTTAGGTACTGCCATATATGTTATAATGGTATATGGCATGTATGTCCATGAGAAAACACACTCAAGGGTTCTTGAATCACTACAGACTTTTTAAAACCCACTGAACCTGAATTAGTATGCCTAAAGATTTTAATCAGTTAAGATGATAAGTCCTAGTGAAACCACTAAGAAAGTAGTCCTAAAAAACTGAAACAAAAAAATCATTGAAGGAATCTAAATGTTACACTAGAAAAGTCATTACTCAATGAAAAAATAATAGTGAAGAAAAGAAGGAGAATAAAAAAAGGAGACAAGAAACAAAATGTTTAGTGGTGAGCATAAATCCAACATTGTCTCTAATAATACTTAGTGTGAGTAAATGGATCAATTCAATCAAAAGGTGGGGATGGTCAGACTGCTAATAAGATCTAGCTCCATGCTATTACAGGAGACAAAATGTAGATGCAGGGATGCACATTGGTTGAAAGGTGTATCCTGCAAAAACAAGACAAGAAAGCTAAAGTGGGCTCAGCTGCAATGGCATTGAAGATCAGCAGCCATGACTCTGTGTCTCCCCATGGTCATGGGCCTCAGCAAGGCCCAAAGGTGACCTTGGACAAGGTCAGCTCCCAGACTTAACACCATCTACCTTGAAGCCTCTTCACCATAAGAACAAAGTGGAGGAGAGAGTGAATGCGTAGGCTGAAGTGCAAGAGAAGAAAGATGAAAATCCAGAAATCCAAGTAAACTAGTAACACTGATAGAAGCCATTGAAGCAGAAATAAGGAAAGCCAGAGGCTAGGAACACTTATATAAATTGTTGGACTGCGTGGCTAATGCCTAGAGATTTGTTTCAGTGAATCTAGAACACCTGTCACCATATGTCTCTGCCACCACCTTTGAGAGACGC